CTCAAGTGCACTTCATCTCAGCCTGCCCATGCTGAAGAGTTCAGAGACTTCCCAGTGCTGCTTCTCCAGAGCAGCATCAGGCAGGTCACGCCATCCGCACCACTGAAAGGTTTTCAAGGAAAAGAGCATTTCACAACATCCACATTTTGGACAACTCTGAATAGCCAGCCCTTGAACAGGAAGCATTACTTAATTACCTCAGAGCTGTCCCTCTGCTGTAAGCAGCCATCCACTCTCAGGTCACAAGACAAACCAGACTCACCTAGGCCAGCTTAGCAGGCACTACCCACAAGAGGCTTCTCCGATACAGGAGCTTGGAGACCAAGCAATTTCAAGAAACCCTTTCCTTTCCCCTCCTTATCCCAATGACCCCCGCCCACAAAACATCTAAGGTACATCTCTATGTTAATCAGTTTCATAACAATGTATTTGGATTACAAAAATCCAAACATCACTCGACCTTTTATGAGAGTATTAAAGGGAAACTTTTTTTTCAATATAAGCTGAGGTAAATACCATTGCAAAATGTATCATACTGGTATAACTCTAAATTACAGCCAAAACTGAAAACAGCACATACTTTTTTATTTAGTTGGGGTATTTTCTTTGTTTGTTTTATATCTTAATTAAAACATGCCATGCTTCTCTATTTTATGGCCATATTTGTGTTTGGTTAGAAAACTAGACAAATTCTACTAGTTCCTAGTGCCACAGCCACCACAATCATGTTGAAGGGATTTGGACTGGGAAAAGAAGTTTTGGTGGCACACTTCTGGCACATCAGAAGTGTGCCACCAAAACAGTACACACCAACACTTCATCCTCCAGCACAAAGCAAAGCCAACTGTCTCAGCGCAAGACTCAGGCAAAGCTTACCTGAACTAAGCAAGCTAGTTTTGGACAATATTTCACACACCTCCTCTTACCAACCAGCTGTGGGTGTTGTATCCTCTAGCTGATGGTAACATCTTCAATTGCCCCAGCAAATGAAAATATACCTGCTGGTAGGTTAGGCATGACATTATAGAAAAAAATGCATTGTTTCAGCCTTGTAAAAATAACTGCAATAGTTTCAGAGAACACTGAGAAAACAAAATAGAGAAAGAGTTCCTGAACTACACAGATCTGTCTATTTAGCAAAAATGAGCAGTCTTGAGGAGATGAACTCGTGTTTTTTGCCATAGTGAGCATGAACAAAACTGAATGCAGTAGCTCCTTTTACTCTGACATTCCTTACTTTTGAAGTACTTGACATTACAGATGTAAATCATATCCACATTACTGGCAAAAAAGCCTAGCAAGGATCTATTAGAAAATACATGACTGCAATGTTTGCACTGATACAGGACAAACACTGGAGTAGCTAACCAGAACCACTGCTGCAAAGACCCAGGTAGGATTCATAGCATTGCAACAGTTTAATTACTCCCATTCTCTCTTCCTGCCCAAGAAATGTCCCTCCACAAGTGAGCCACAACGCCTCTCACATTCATTACAGCCAAAAAATATCTTGCATATGCAAAATTCTCAAAGAAGAAAAGCACATGTGTAGTTTAATGTTTAAGTAAGAACCTAATCAAGCTATTATATTTATTTATTGATTTTGGCTGAACAGAGAAGGTAGCCAAAAATTGATTACTTTATTATTTCACCAATAATCTTTACAAAGTGAAAGACAGAGAACCACCTTTCATTTTCTGCTAAATACAAAACTGTGACAGCTGAGGAATGGACAGGGATTTAATATTCTTCGTCTCTCCTAACATAGGAATAAGAAGGCACCCAATACACCTGACAACACGTTTATTCACGACCAGTCACTTCAAAACAAGGACTTGTCCATTCCTCCCTCAAAGCCACCAAACACATTCACCAGAGAGGAAGCCACCAAGGGCTGCCAAACTCACAGAAGTGACACAGCCCTAAAGTACACACTGATAGCAGCCACAAGGGTGCTCTGGGACCGGGACCTGTAAGCATCCAGTGCTGCCTTCAGCCTTTTGCAGACCTGCTCTGGGCTAAACTGTCCTTGCCTGATTTAGCCAGAAGAGCCTGTGTGATGACCAGCGGCTGTACCACCACAAAGATCAAGAAGTTTGTTGACAATAAGTCAGTTTCCATGCTTACGTGGGTCTAGGTCTTCATGAGACAAATACCTAAAATCTTTGTAGCCTTTGCTACAGAGACTACAACTACTACTCTTGTAGTCTTTGCTACAAGAGACTATCTTAATGTCCATAGTAGTGATTGCAGTAAATAGATTTTGTCTATCCAGTGAATACTTAGAGCATTTCAGTACTGAACCATCCATCAGTTTCCACAAATTGACTAAAGCACAATACTTTGTTGTGGGAGAGCATTTTCATAAGCAATTGATGCAATGTTTATCGTGTCTTTCTAGAATTACCTGACATACACAGTCCACATATGACACGGCTGAAGCAGCTCTGCAGATAAAGTCTTTATGCTACTTTTATTTCAAGTGTAATGTACACACAGCCATTGCATGTGCTCTTCACAAAAAGATTCAGAATATTAAACATGTCCATTAAACACCGTCCAAATTTTAAAAACTCTGTTTACTTTAAAGAGACAGAAGATCAGCATTCCTCTCTGTTTAATAACATTGCTGGCCTAAATCATCACACACCATTCCTTTCTTTTACTGGTTCAGAGACAACAAATTCCATTGAAGTAATGAACAAAACTTTTGCAAAGTATCACATGCATACATAAGGAGAAGTAAAGTTAATTTGTCAGCCTAAGTCTAAAGATAAAAATTATTTCTTTCCCTAAGCTAAAAAGTTATTTGTTGTAAAAGCTTTTGTAACAGTTAATACAAATGAAAATCACATACTTTCTAATAAACATTTATGTTTCCAAACAGACACCATTGTATTAGTAAATTATTCAGCTTGAACAAAGAACCTACACTGATTAGATAGAAGCTGCAGTAGGAGGAAAAATCTAAACCTTGACGAAAAAAATTTTAAAAATATGAAGTGATATATCTTTTTGAGATATTTATGAACCTGAAACACCAACAAGAATGCATAATTGCCATCAAGATACAGAACCAGACTGTCATTAATAACTGGATGATGATGGAGAAAGGGCAGATTTAAGTTTGGGACCAGGAAGTGCCTTAAAACAAGTGTAATCAACACATGAAAAAAGGACATAGTGTCACTTTGCTCCTGTAGATATTATATGCAGTACAGAACTGACCATCTCCTCTCCTTCTCTTCACTGTGGCCTGAAGAGAATGCAACTTCCGTTTCTAACCATTGAGTTCAGCGATGAAGAAAAGCTAGAAATGAACCAAATAAAGAGTTCAACTTCTTTACACCCCTTTTCAAAACAGCAGTGATGACAGAAAGCTTAAGATATGGAGATACTTCAAACTAAAGAAAATGAATCTTTTTACCTTCAGCAAACTGGGTCTCAAAATGAAACTGTGAAAGATCAGCTGCCCTGCCTACCTTAAAATTCCTACTGATGTCAAGATTTTTCCCTGAGTTTTCAAAGGCTATCTCCTCACCGGAATAGACAAATATACAGCTGGGAAACAGGCACTAAGTGCTCTCAAAAGTGTAGCACAAACTGAAGCACAGAGCAAGCATCCATAGCTGGAATGCTGGAATATGGCCTTCTGTTCACACCCATATATTTCAGCAACTGTGTACATTTCTGCTATGTTTTGTTTTCCTCTTCTTTCAATCGCATCTGGTAAAGAAAGCACAGGAGAGCAGGCACCTAGCACCTGGCCCACAGGATGTTCACAAGCTGTACACTCTTCTTTTAATGAAAAGCCCGACAAACCCTACAGCCTTCCCCTGCAAAGTCTTTCTAGACTCTTTCCAGGAAGATGTGGAGAGGATTCATGCAGACAGCAGTTTCCACACAAGAGTTACAATTTCTGGATCTCTGTCTGAACACTGTCTCATCAAAAAAACGACATTCAACCTACTCTCTTCATTTTTTAGTACATCCTCCTCATATGTAACAAATTGCTGTATAAATTTTAACACCCAAATAGTACAATTTAACACTAGCAGACACAATTGTTTCTTCCCCGACAAGCTACGGAGGTGTTGTTTTCTTCAGTTAAAAGAAAGTTAAGATACTCTATAAAAAGACTTCAAGTTTTGATACAGTTTTTGCTCAGCGGGAAATTATGCGCGGGGCGGAAATGCTAAAAAGCAAAGCAAAACAGAACCCAAGCAAACACAGTCCCATTCCCAAACGAGACCCTTCTCTCCCCAGTCCCGGAGTAAGGTCTGGAGTAAGAGCAAGAGCACTCTCGTGCCTCGTGAAGCAGCAACTACTCCGATAAACAGGAAGAGCCAACACTACTCCTGGCTTTTAAAACACATTCAAAACACTTTACATGGAAAATAAGCAACTCTTCAATAACGTTTTTCCGCGAAAAGAAGAGCTACATTTTCCACCCAAGTGTTATGTAAATGAGCGAGCAGGAGGGAGCCGCGGGGTCTGTTAAGAGCCACTCAACCTATAGAGAAAAGAAGGAAAACGGGGGAGCGGGGTGGGGGATGTTTGAAACCCTCGGGGCTCACAGCACTGCGGCCGTGCGCTCCGCTCCAACCTTGCACAACTTTCCGCCGCGGCAGTTCCGCTCGGCTACCCGGGCGGGGACGGGACGGAGGGGTCCGAGCCCTCCGCCCGCCCGCCCGCCGCCTTTGTTCGCGGGGGCCGCCGCTCCCGGCACAAAGCGGGCGGCGGAACTCGCGGAGGAGACCTCGGCGCTGCCCGGGGGCCCTGGCGGAGCACCCCCGTTCCCGCCCGGTCTCCGCGGCGGGCGGGAGCGGCGCGTGGACCGCGGGGCAGCAGACCGTGCGCGGCCGGCAACGTGAGCCGCATGGGAAACGGCGGCCGCCGGCGCCGCGCCCCCCGCCCCGGCCCCCGGCCCCCGCCCGCTCCGCCGGCAGCCCCGGGGCACCCAGCCCCTTCCCGAGGCGGCTCCTCCCGCTCGCACTCACTTTTCGGGACGGGCTCCGCTGGGCTCTCCCTCCGCTCGCGGCGCGCGCGCCTTCCCGCCGGCGGGGCGATGAGGGCGGCGAGGCGGAGCCCCCCTCCCCCGGCGGGAGGGGGTCCGCTGCCCCCCCCGCCCCGGGGCTGCCGCCGGGGGCCGGGTGACTTCAAAGGGGCAGGCGGGTCCAGCCCCCCCCCGCCCCGGGCGGGCTGCGGACTGGTGGCCCTCGAAGAATCCCCCCGGCTGCGGCTGTCCCGGCGGCGGATCAGGTGCGCCGCCGCCTCCTCTCACATGGAGCCACCGCCTCGCCGCCCCTCGGCGCCCCCCGGGCCGGTCCCCGCACCGCCGCCGGCCGGGAGGCGAGTGGCTCGGGCCGCGGCCCCCGCCCCGCTCTCCCTCTCATGCACTGCGGGCGCCGCCGGGCCCCAGCTCCAGCGGCGGGGGGGCCGTCAGGGCCCCAGCTGGGCGGCGCGGCGGGGCAGCCGGGCGGCGGGGCTCGGCGCCGCGACCGCTCCGCTCTGCGGCATGTGGGGGGAGCGGCGGCGCGGGGCGCTGGGCGGCGAGGCAGGGCCGGGCCGGGGACGCCGGGCGCGGTGGGGGCAGCGGCGGCAGCAGCGCCCCGGGATCCGCTCGCTTCCTGCGGCGCCGGGAGGGGGCGGGGAGGGCGGGCGGGAGAGGGAGCGAGCGCGGCGGCGGCGCGGGCGGATGACAGCGGTAACCCGGCAACGGGGCCCGCCCCGCCCCGGTGCTGGCGCGGAGCGATGATGCCGAGGGCGGGCGAGGCGGAGCCGCGCAGGTCCCGCCGCGGCCGCGCGGTTCAGCCCGGGACAAGGGGGCGGCCCCGCGGCCGGCCCGCCCTTTCCCGCCATGGGAACGGCCGATGCCGGGGCCATCCCGGTGCGCGCCGCTCCGTGCCCGGCCGCCGCTCGGTTTGTCCGGGAGTAGGCGGTGGGAAGTGCTGGTCACCCTTGGTGCTTCCAGAAACTGAGGCTCACCTGTCCCTAGCAGCACTTTCTCAGTCGGGCTCCGGGTGCCGCGAACCCAGTAACGGGAATGATGGTTACCCCATCCCTGCTCTCCTAAGGTTAAACCGAGAGTTATTTACAAGAGCCTATAACAGAATCACAGGATCAATTCGATTGGAAAAAGACCTCTTGAGTTCATGGAGTCCAACCTATGACGGAACACTGCCATGGTCAACTAGACCTAGCACTGAGTGCCACATCCAATCATTCCCGAAACACCTCCAGGGACCCCACCACCTCCCTGCACAGCCCTTTTCCAAACTGCCCTTTCTGTGAAGAAATTCCTCCTGGTGTCCAAACTAAACGTCCCCTGGTGCAGCTTAAGACTGTCCTCTTGTGTTGCTGGTTGTCTGGGAGAAGAGACAGACCTTCATCAGGCTACGCTCTCCTTTCAGGCAGTTGTAGAGTGATATGGTCACCCCAAGCTTTCTTTTCTCCAAGCTAAACAACCCCAGCTCCCTCAGCCACTCGTCACAGGACTTGTGCTCCAGTTTAGTGCAGAGTTGTGGCCATCACATGAGAGTTCTGCTAGGCCTCCTTTGGTTTGTGATGCTGATACACAGCACTATTCAACAGACAACAAGGTAAAAAATGAATACTTAATTGTCAGTCATTAAGCGTGTGGGATGGCTGAAAGCAGCACTCAGCCTGGCCCCTGAGAAGAGCTTAGGCCTCAGGAAAAAGGAAAAAAAAGCGGTATTTGACTGTTGCCATCATAAAGCATATACAACAAGAGCAAAATTAAGGTTACTTGTGTACCTTAGGTCTGGCATTTATCTTTCTTTTCAAAAGATCATGGTGGATCTTTGCCATGTCAGAGTATGCCCAGGCAGAAGTCTGCTCTGCCCAGACCTCACATAAGCATTGGGACATGGGATGTCTGACTGCAGTAAAAGCCTTCCAATTCCCCACTAGCTTTTTCCTGTCTGCTATTCAGTGGTTAATCTGTCTTTTATTCTCCATCATCTTCTACTTGGTGTTTCTTTACCCTTTCCTGTTAAGTTGTTTACCTGATTTTTCTTTTCCCATGTATTAAAAACAGGTGTTTGAGCTTACCTGAGTCTCCAAACCTCCACTGTGTTCCCATTGGAACAATGCAGCAGAGAAGCACTCTCACTCTTGAGAGCTGCAGGCACATCCCTTCCTCACCAGCTGAACTTCCACACATCCATTCCTGCCTAGCTTATCTTATTGTAAGAAATTGGCAAGGGGTGCTTTTGCAGACAGAAGCCTCCTTCACTCCTTCACTACTCAGGCCTGCTGCCCCACAGAACATCACTCACCTTTTCCACAGAATGACAAAGCAGTCCCGCAATAAGTATGTAGGTAAATATATAATCGGGCAATTGAGCTTTTTATTCCTGGAGCAGGCAGGAATTAAATCTGCATGAATAATATTTTCATTTTGGCAAGGTCTGTTCCCCACAAGTTTCAGAAATATGTGCATTTTTTGCCCCTTACAAAAGAAATAGCAGTGCTAAAACTTTTGTATCTGCAGTATGGATCTGTGCTCCTTGAGCTAAGAGAACACAGGTTTCTCTCCTCAGACCCTATCCATATCAAGGGGTTATGGTTCCTATTTCTTGGATCTATTGCTTATTCCACTGGCTTTCTACTAATTGTGGTGTTCTCTCTCTACCAGTTGGATAATAAATTCACACATGGGTCAGACATAGCTGGGACACTAATACTGAGTACACATTACTTGGGAGCGAAGGAAAAAGTTGGCTATCTAATCAGTGTAAATCACTGACAATGGCAGATGCATCACTCAAGAAACAGAAAATCACTACTCTGCCAGCACTGATGATGGTGTTCAGACTGGCTGAGGATTTAATGAAAATGTTACGATTATTTTATTAGTCACAGATTAAACTGGTTCAGCGTGTAGTCTTTAATGGAAATGTGGTCATGACTGACTATACTTCAAACAGCAGGGATAAAAATAGGAATTGTGCTACAGATCAATGCATTGGCAGAACTAATCACACTGTCATATGCCAGACTTGAATGCCACCACACAGACAGTTTCAATAAAACTGATTTTAAAAATAACACACAGAACAATTTTAAGTGGATCTGTATTGTTTTCAACATACAATCCAGTGAGAATGCAAAAACCTTGCCAGAGGTTATTACTGTGCACGAAATCATGACGGAGGAAGAGAAACACTGGGGCTTTTAAGCACTCTGCCTAGAGGCTGAAGGGATACTTGCTGTCTGTCTGCATGTATTTTCTTCCTGTGGTGTTTTTAATCTTGATGGGCTACCACCCATACCAGAGGTTGGTATTAAACTTAATGGCAAGACTGCAATCTATCAACAGCCTTGGTAACTGAAAAGATTCCGTGCTAAAAGGCGTAGAAAATTAGATGATGATTTGAAAATGAGCATTAGCCAGGAGAGAGAGGGCACATGCATGAGTAACAAATCAGCTATAGAATTGTTATTACAGAGGAAAGCTGACCCTGTATAATACCACGTCGTCTTTAAAATGCCATAAATAATAAGGTGAAATAACCAAATGAAAGGAGCACATTCAAATACTAAACCACCATTTAAAAAATCTGCCTAATTTGCCCATGTTTCTGGTTTTATCAGGCATCTATGACAAATTTTGTAAGCTGGTTTTATCAGGTATCTATGATAAATTTTATAAGCTGTTTGCAGATAAAGGGAAGAATAAAGGATTTCTTTGTGTGGGAAAACATGGACCCAAATTATGGTAATGCTGTAGGAGATCTTCTGTACAAGGTTTAGTCCACTTTGACTGATCCAATTTAAATTTAAATCCTTATTTTTTAGAAACTGTTTACAGGTAGACATATCCTAATGACTGGCAGTGCTGTGCATCCCACTGCCTGCAGGAATGAGAATGGAAACTGAGCTCTGTCTTGGGCAGATGCTTCAGCTTCTGTAACCTGCCCATATCTGAGGCTGCATGTGTCAGGGTTTGGGATGGGAGATGCAGGCATCCCATGTAATAGGATCACCAGCGATGCACACATGTGTAGGTCCTGGACTGGGGAGGGTTTCTGAGGCAGAGTGGGTGCCTGAGAAACAGACCCTTTAGCAGGACTCCTCTGAGGAGGGAGTTGCACCAGACACATAGTCCTGGCTTGCAGCACAGTGCTTATCCATATTTTGGTTTCCCCCTGCCAAGCACAGAGCAGAGGAGTGGGGAAGCTGTGCTGTCGTGCTGCTGGTGTAGGAGGAGGCAGGCAATGGAGCAGGGGACACCGGATCAACAGCTCTCGTAATCACAGCTTGTTCTGCTGGGTGAGAAAAAAATCTCAGGAGCAGACAAAAGGTAGCAAAAGGGGAAAGATAAGCAAACCACAAGGGAGTAGAGCCACACTTTTTGTTGTTAGTGAAATACAGATTGATTCATCTGGCTCAAACTTCACCCTTTGAGCTGCAGTGCTTAGGCTACACATGGGCTGTCAAAACCTTACTTAAAACTAAATCTAGCAATTCAGACTCCTACTGCCGCTTCCTAAATGGTATGAAACATCCTTTCTCTCTGCTTCATGTAAGGATATGACAGACTTGAGGTAAAGAAGCAGAGAGCTCCTCTTTTTGATAGGCAATCTTCTGCTCAAAGACACAGTTAGTTCTACCTTTAATTCCCTACAAATGAAGCTGCTGTCCTGGCTGACCTTGGGAAGGTCATTTTAAACAGCCTGCATGATGAAACTGAGACCATCTCCTTCCCAGCAGACAGACATTTGATTTGTCTCTCTTTTCTTGCTGTTCTTCTCAAGAATGGTTTAGAGTCACTGCTAAGACATAATTCACATTTCTCCCATGGCATTACTGAGTACTGTAAAGTTGTGTGTAAGCACATTGCACCAGACTTAGACAATAAAATCGTGGTTGTATACAGAACCTATTGCATTCAAACAAAATAGAGAGGATACAACAGAAGTAATAACAAGAAAACAAGAATTAAAATCATCTTTCATCTTAGGATGTAGGGAACAGGTCATCATGGACCTACTGAGCTCAAGTGGATTATAATGTAAATATTCTCTTCAATAAAATGAACAGATAAAGAAAAAAAGAGCTATACAAGATCTCATTTTCAAGAGGTGTAAAGGTCTAATACTT